CTTGCTACTACTTCTCAGAATCTGCTAGAAGTGTGTGTGCGTGGTAGAGTAGCCTAGAGTCTGGCTCCACAGCCCTGAACTCCCTTCCACTGTAGATCCCTCCCTCAGTCACCTGTCCAGGATGTGTCAACAAGCAGCAAGAGAAGCAAGTGTCCCACCAGTCTTCTGAGGAAGCCAGGGCAGGGTGCCAAAATAAACTGACTTAAGGAACAGACTTTCTGCAGAAGGACCTCCCATGAGAGAAAAATCTTATGCTCTCCATGCAGCAAGAGGCACCCACATGGGACTTTGCCCAGGCAGGAAAGGACCTCCAGGACCCTCTCTTCAAGAGGTCCAGCATACCTGCCTCAGCCCTCAGTACCTGAGTCTGACAGAACACCTCAATAACAAGGCCAGAACGGAGCAGGCTGATAGCCAAGGTCAACTGTTCTGCACAAGTGTGGAGCTGGCAGGGCATGAGGCCTGCCGTGTACTTCCTCCTGTGGCCACAGGTGAAGTCACCTGAAAGGAGCCATTCAGAGCAGCTGGGGGTGGGGGTGGGGTGACTCTGGCGTCCCAGCGGGGACAGAAGCTGTTCATGACAAGGGCTCTAAAACAGCCAGTTTGCCTGGCTCTGAACCCTGCCTCCACCATGCTGAACGAAGAGAGCAGAGGAGGAAGGGCCAAGTGGATGGAGTGGGCCCTCCCTCTCCCCCACCTAAGTTCCCTGCATATTGGAAAAGAGGTTTTACTCCATGGAGTGTGTTGGAGCTTCGGCCAAGAAAATAGCCAGAAAGTCCCTGGGACTTACCTGGGACATCCTGGGCTTGGTTGTCACGAGGACCATCAGAGTGGCAGGATTTACATTCTCCTCAGTGTTCTCCCTGTCACTCACAAAGTGTCATAGTTTGGACAACACTCCATAAAGTTGCCTTGCCCTTGTACTCATTATGTAAACCTGGCTATCTATCTGCTTCCTGAGTGACAGGGACCCCAGGTTTCTAATATGTATGTCCCCAAAGACAGCTCTGCAGCTATCCACATCATGAACTCTGCTAACTCTTGCTTTTTTTTTCTCCCCACTTGGTCTTTCCTTCTGCTCCCACAGTCACTCATTTCAGGCTTCCCCTCTGTCTGTGCTGTGGGGCTCTGCAAGTCCACACGCATATTTTGTCCTTACTGGGTGGGGCGGGGGAGGCTTCCTGATCCCATACACTGGGACAGGCCAGGTTCAAGCTCTCTCAGTAAACTAGCTCGTCAAATTACCCTTAGAAGAAACAAGACTGTGAGAGGTCAAAGAAGTAATACAAACACTAGAAAGACCATGTATTGTGGTATGGTGTGTGTGTGTGTGTGTGTGTGTGTGTGTGTGTGTGTGTTTGTGTGATGTATATATGTTTGTGTTGTGTGTCTGATGTGTTTGTATGGTATATGTATGTGGGGAGTGTGTATGTGTCTGTCACATGTGTTTGTGTGGTGTATGTATATGTGTGGTGCTCGTATGTTATATGTGTGATACGTATTTGTGTAGTGTATGTATGTGGTATGTGCATGTGTATTAAATGTGTGTGGTATATGTATGTGTGGTGTTTGTGTGTGATATGTGTTTTTGTGGTGTATGTATGTGGGGTGTGTGTGTGTGTGTGTGTGTGTGTGTTTATGTGATATGTGTTTGTGTATTATAAGGATGTGTGATGTGTGTGTGTGATATGTGTTTGTGTGGTGTATGGATATATGGTGTGTGTGTGTGTGTGTGTGTGTATGTATGTTATGTGTTTGTGTGGTGTATGGATGTGTGCAATGTGTATGTGTGTGATATAAGTTTGCGTGATGTATGAATGTGGATGTGATATGTGTTTATGTGTGGAGTGTGTGTGTGTGTGTGTGTGTGTGTGTGTGTGTGTGTGTGGGGTGTGCTGAAGAACCGAGAACACCAGCTGCAAGCGGTCCCCCTGGTGCTAGAAGCTGTTTACATGCTGCCCTAGGGCTGTGTGTTGGCATGCCTGCAGGCTGCTGTCTAGCACAGTCATCTGTCTGTGGAGGAGGAAAAAGCAAAACCTGAGAGCTGGAAGCCACAGGGTCTAGACCCATTTCTGTCAGTCATTGACAACTGACCAAAGACTGACGTTCTAAACTTTCAGTTTCCCCATCTGTCCTTCCAGTCAATGCTGTGACTCTCTTAGAGGCCTTGTGGCTGCTCTGCTCCTCACACAGCAACTCATAATATTCTGCAACTGTATATTTAGCCCTTTTATTGGGCGACACTGGAGGGAACCAGGTTCTGGAAAACTATGAAAAACAGAAGTCATTCTCCCTAAGGAATCTGCTGTGCACTGTAATCTTTCTGTGTGGAGAAAAGCAAAAGGTGCTGGGAACTAGATGACTAATGCCGAGTCTTCAGACACTCTACCTGGCACTCTCACCTCCTGCCAAGCTTCTCCCGGCCACCATGCCAGTGCCCCAGCAGCCTGCAGCTGCCAACAGCAAGCCATGCAACTGTCACAAGTGCTCCCTCCCCCAAGTTCTTGTCCCAAGGCTGGGCTTGCCTATAGGCTGAGCTGACAACAAATGACAAGTGTCCAACACCGACACACCTTATCCTGGACCCGGCTCTCTCCTCACCCAAGCACCGGAATCGATTCTTCATCTTCACAGGCCTCCTTCCTACTTCCTTGGTTTTCCTTTCCTTTCCTTTCCTTTCCTTTCCTTTCCTTTCCTTTCCTCTCCTTTCCTTTCCTTTCCTTTCCTCTCCTTTCCTTTCCTTTCCTTTCCTCTCCTTTCCTTTCCTTTCCTTTCCTTCCCTTCCCTTCCCTACCCTGCCCCTCCTTTCCCTTCCCTTCCCTTCCCTTCCCTTCCCTTCCCTTTCCTTTCCTTTTAAGCATGTGTGTGGACAGAGAATAAATTTCAGGAGTAAGTTCTCTCCTTCTGCTAGACAGGTTCCAGGGATGGAATTCGGGGCACCAGGCTCAGCAGCGAGTGCTTCCACCTTTGGCGATATCTCACAAGTTCCCCACTCCTAGTCTTAAGTGTCTGGGTCCTGACACGCGGTCACGGACGTACTTGCTTACTGGAGTGGGTCTCAGATCCCTGTCTCCACGTATTTGCCATGTGACCTCGGACAAACTGCTTAACCTTTTTTGACTCTAGATTCTTCTCCTACAGTATGGGGGCAATAATGACGTCAGGGGGTTGTTGTTGGGGTGATTAAACAGGGCTATTGAAGCCCAACTACAACTTTCCCCACTTTGTACACCATCTCTGTTGGCATGCCTTACTCTGCATTCCCTCCAGCCCTGCTCAGTCCACACAGTCACCTTCCCGGGTCTCTTGTCACCTCAAGCAGCGGTGGCTTCCATCTAGAACCATCCATCACAGATGCCATGTGTTTCTGAGCCCATGATCACAGAACTCAGATTCCCTGAACACTCAAGGCCCCCTCACCCCTACCTCCTACCCCTTGCCCTCTGCCCTCTGCCCCCTTCCCTCTGGCCTCTGCCCCAGCCAATGTTCCTTAATGCACGGCACTTGCCATTACTTCCCTGGTTCCCCAGCACAACCTCCAAGACTTAGCTCAGGTGCCCCTCCCCCTGAAGCATCCCGACTCAGCCTCCTCCTCAAGATCTGGACTAAGGACCACATCCAGCTTGTCATGTCAGTCCCACACCTTCCAGAAGGAGCAGCCCTCCCTCCTCTAACCTGCCCCCACACACACACACGGGATGGGGAAATTGTTCTGTTGCTAAAGTGCTTGCTGTCCAAGCATGAGGACCTGAGTTCTAGCCTCGGGACGCATGTGACAAAAGACAGGCATGCTGGCATTTGGTGTAGTTTCAGCCTTGTGGAGCATTCACAGTATAATATTACCTGGGGGCCAAGGGACCTCAGAAGTCACATCTCTGTTTCAGCATCCTCAAATAAAATTTGTGACTGTTACCCAGGAAGACAGGCATGTTCATTCCACTGGAAGAAGGTCATGAACCTGGGCCCTCAAACGGAACTCTTGACTTCGTATGGGACAACTGTGCTGGCTGCACACCCCATTGGCTTCTTCCAGAGACAAGGGACTCACCACCTTATGTGCCAATCAGGTTCTCCCTCCTGACCTGTCACCTCTGTGGTCATCCACCATTGACACTTCCTTCCAGCCTGCTGAAGCCAAAGGCTAAAGCTGTAGGGATTTCTGATTTCCTCCATAGAGGCAAATGGCAAATCCCGCCCCATCCCCCGGGACTCTGTGGTTTGAGGCTAGACATATGGATGCTGAGACTTTGCCACAATCAAGGGTAGAAGTCACTATATTCTGGTACACCAGGGTGTGGTACACCTGTGTGTGCTTATACACACACACACACACACACACACACACACACACACACACCTGGGCCAGAGGCAGCACAGGCCCACTGAGTCACACAGCCAGACCACAGCAGGATCTGGAACCAGGACTAAGACCCAGGAGCCACCCAGTCTCTGACCTCTCCCTCTACTCTGGAAAGTTTTCTTTTTCTTTTCTCTTCTTTTGTTCCTTCCCTTCCCTTCCCTTTTCTTTTCTTTCCTTTGCTTTTCTCTTCTCTTCTCTCCTCTCCTCTTTTTTTCTTTCCTTTTCTCCTCCCCCTCTTTCTTTTTTTAACTGTCTCTGAGTTTTTTTCCACGTGGTAGCCGGCTCAACCCTGTGCCGGCCCACGTGGGCTCCCAGCACCTCCCCCTGTCAGGCAGCAGTGTGGGTTTCTAGCCTCTGGCTCCTCTGTAAAACGGAGTCTGGGAATAGGTGGAGGGTCTCTGGAGGCTCTTTCTAAACCCTGGTGCTCCTGGGCTCCTATAGTCCCTCTTTAACTGGGTGAAATGAGTCTGACCAGTCCTGAGGAAGTCAAGGCTGAGGTGCTTGTCCCTGTGGCCATGAGCCCTGGCCAGCGTCTCCCGTGATCTCCATGGGCTTCGCTGCTCAGCAGGAAGGAAACGAATTGGCCCCGGACCCAGCAGAGGGGCTGGGGCCAGGCCTTCCAAGACCTCCCTCCCTTTACCTGGCTGGATGTCTAGTGCAGGTGTCCGAACTGTCCCCTGCCTTCTCGGCTCACAGCTGTCAGGAATTCACCGCCAGTTGGACCTGTCCCACCATCCTGCTTCGAGTCTGGTCCAGTCCCAGCAGCGCCCGGCTTCACAGGCTCCAGGATCTACACCATGGTGGGATCCCAGTCCAGAAAAGCAATGTGTGACTGCCACTGCCTGCAGCCTAGGTGGCGAAGGCGGGGCCACTGCTGACAGTGTGGAGCCCTGGGCTTCCTGTGCCCTCCCTCTTCTGGTCGTTCGAGGGCCCGTGCTCAAGGAGCCAGGCTGTACTGTCTCCAGAGCCCCCCATAGCACAAAAAGTCAGGTTTTAGTCTGGGCTTTGCCAACCCTCGGAACAGAGCACATTCACCGCTGAAAAACCAGCTCCAGCTGCTCTCTCTGCACATAGAAACCGAAAGGGATTTTGTTCTTGATGCTTGTCTGCCTTTCATATATATTCTTCAGTGGACTAGAGTACTTGTATAATTAAAGCCCATGCAACGAGTGCTGTTTAACAAAGACCTCACTGAAACTTCAAAGGCTTCCATGCTAAAGGATAACCCCTCAGCTCGATCCACATGATCCCCTGAACTCTCCCAATCCACAAGCTCATCTTCCAGCCTCCACCCTGGTGACACTCAGACACACAGCTCAGCACTAGGAATGCTACCTGTTGCAAACACTGCTCGCCCTTTCTGGCTGTAGAGACTGCTGTTTTTGCCTAGAATGCCCCTCGTCTTCCTTCTCTTCCAGGCTCCCTGAAATGTCAGCTTGGGGACCCTTCCACAGATACTTCCCTCAGTAGAAGACCTAGTCCTTTCTGGGTGTTCTCCTCTGGCAAGTTTATACATTAGTACCCCTGCTCTACACACAAAGAAACACTCTCTAAACCCAGATCACAAACAGACAAAAACACACACTAATTGGCACAAATTACCACAACCTGCCCTTTCTTCTTGCAGACAGCCAGCGGCTAGCTCACCGTTCCGCTATCTCGGCAGTTTCAGAAGTGACCAGCGCCCTCTCACCCCTCCCTTTGCCTTCCTTGGAATCTCTTCCTCTATGCTTTGGCTTTCCCTTCCATGTTCTGGAGTATGTCTGCTTGTGTTGGCCCCCAGTGTTGGGAAGAGGCAATATTACATAGAAGCTTGAGGGCTGGACAGCTAGGTAGCAAACCTGGGTCTCTAGGTTGTGCCAAAAGGACAGCTCACCCTTGTTTGTCAGCTAAAAAAGAGGCCCCTTCTTCACCAGAACCCAAGACAAGAAGCGACTGCAAAACTCATCGGATTCAAAGCCATCTCATTCCCATTCTATACAGAAGAAAACTGAGGCCAGAGATATCAAGGCACAGGCACCTGAGGTCATGGCCACGGTTATCCTTGTGATTAACACTCCTTACTTTGCAGGGTGAGGTTGCCTTCCATGTCTACAGCCGTCCCACAGGATGGCAGTCATTTGCTCCTCATAGGTTCACGAGATACTAATTGATCAATTGGTTAATACTCTAGCAGTCAAGAGCACAGACTGAAGCCCACGGCTGTGAGCTCCATCTTGGCAGCTACAGCCGTGGCAAGTTATTGAGCCTCTTGTCAGCGCATGGCTAACAGGGCAGTAGTTTCTGCATCATGGACTCTCTCTAACCCAATGCCTCAAGCTCAGGGAACATCACAGAAAGGAAGAGGGGATTGGAAGGGCCAGAGGACCAGGATGTCTGCTGCAAAACAGTGTCTTCTATCTATGACAAGGATCTGCACCCATGCAATCTTAACAGCATGGTCACCCAAACAAGACTGCACAATGACTTCAGCTGACATCCCGACATGGCTGTAGGAAGTCTCACAAGGCCCTATACCCCTAGATAAAGAGCTACAGGCAATTAATTGGGAAAATCAGTCTTCTTCAAGGACAAGTTCCCTGATATGTTATCTATTTAACCCCAAGTGGTCAGCTCTAAACATATGAACATGTAATCAACACTGAATGAACTCAGCAGGTTGTATTCGTATGTACATGTGTGTGTGTGTGGGTAAGTGCACTATACAATAATAATCAAAGAAGAGCCGGTCATAAAGTTGAGAGGGACTTTTGGGGACATGGGAAGAGCTGGAGGAGGAGGAGAGTGGGGTGGAAATGATTAAATATAGTCCTCATGTATAAAATCCTAAAAATAAAAATAAAATAAATGTTAAAGGGTTTTTTTTTTTTTGGAATCCAAATGTCTTTTAAGAGGGTTTAAAATGGTAGCTGGTGTATAAGAAAATGCCAAGTTCTCCTTTCTTACTGGTGACTTTTGTCATGGTCAGTCATCACGTCCCAGGTGGAATAACAGGCTTAGACTGGCTGTGACTAGTTGATTCCATCTAGGGCTACAGGAACATGTTCAGTTTTCTCTACCAATTAAAAAATTAACAGGCAAAAAGGACTCTTGGGGAGTCCCAGCAGAGCCACCATGTAACACTGGGGAAACTGGAGTCCCTTCCTGGGGTTCTTCATCTCCTCTCTAAGAGAATTTAAAAGTGACATAAACAGAAACGTGAGGACAGTTTATTACAGTGCAATAGAAAAACTCCAGGGCAGGCAAGCTGCAAATGTTGCGGCTGCCCGGAAGAAGAAAATGGAGAAGGTAAGCTGCCATAGTGGTCAGCTACATGGCAGCAGGCAGCCCATGGCAGGAAGAGGGACAGCTTTAGAAAAAGAGCAAGGAGGCCCAAAGCATTATTTGGGGAGCTAAAAGCATCCTTGGGTTCTGTCAGCATCTGAATGAAGAACACAGAAGAGAAGAAAAAGAAATAATTACCCCTTAATAGGCAGGCAGACCCAGTCAAATGAACATCGAGTTGGCTTAGCTGGTAGGGGCTACACTGAGGGATAGGAATTCTGGGACGGAAATATATATTATCTTAATGTCAACCCACCTTCCTAGCGGTGGTCTCCTAACCAGGTCCCTGACTTGTCCCATTGTATTCTTTACGTACAATAGGGAACTGTGCTCATGGGGACTGGTTTTGCTCACCCAATCCCATGTGCTCCTGTCTCTGGCATCATTCTGCTTCCTGTCCCCATAGTGCTGTGTCTAATAGCACTTAGTCTGTCTAATGACAGAAACATGGTTGTCATTTGGGGATGTTGGTCCATTCCATCTCATGGACACTTCAGGACGAAACATCAACTGTGCCTTTGTGGTGATATCTACAATTTGCAGACACGATTCCTTTCTAGAACTGCCCAGAACCAGCCTGAGGGTGAGCTGAAGGGCAGCTTGTGCACTGGACACCCTTACTCTTCCACAGCTGAGAAGAGATGGAGGGAAGATGGCTCATCTGTGTATAGACAGGAAACTGAGACAGAGCAAGGCTGGCCCTAGACTGTGTATCCAGGCTTGAATGCAAGAAAGATCAGGATCCCTGATTCCTCATTCTCCATGATGGTATGGCCTTCATGATCCAAGGTTGACCAACTTTAATGTTTTTTATTCTTTACTTGGCATCTCCTAGTCAAATAAGGCCCAAGCAAGGGCAGCTTTATTGCAGTGTGACCTATGCACTCGTTTATAGGGTCTGTAATTAGGAGGACTTGATGCTTGATTTAATTTTCTGCTTTCACTTTCTTGGATGATCTTAATTGTTTTTGAACAATGGGCGCTGATTCTTATTCCACACTGGAGCATGCACACTGGAGCTGGTTCTGAGTGTGGCCTTCTCCTTAGGACCATTTGGCATTACAAGAAGTCTGCCACCACTGGGCTGATCAGTGCAGTGCAGTATGGCAGAGATCATGGGAGGGCAGGGAGTGTGGAGTTAAGAGAGGGACCTGGCTATGGAAGACTTACCCAGGCAATGCTTTCCAGCTCTATAACCTCCCCAGCTGCTAGCCAGCCACGTGTACTCTCTCTATTTTAGAAGAACAGCCTTGGTCGTCTGGTACAGGGGGAAACTGTAGCCCTAAACAGCAGCTATAACCCCAACAGCCTTGCAGCCCACTGCTTGTCTTGACAATAATAGGAATACCCAGAAAGTGTGTACTCTTGATACCCTACTCTTTCCATGTGTCTCTTACCCTGACTTCCTTGCTCATTCAAATTCCTGTTGGCCTTTTGCTGTCTCTGCCTGGCCAGACCCAGCCAACTTTCAGGGAAAGGACAGAGAAAGTCATCCATGCTGAAAAGCAAGTGACAGGCAAAATCAGTGGGCTATTCATGCAAAGGACATGCGGGTGTTTGGCGGATGGCTTTGCATCCTGCTGACCTACATGCATGACACCTAGCAGGCATTTGAGTCATCAGTGAAGTGAGTGCAGAACTGGTAGATGCATAGTGCAAGTCCTGGGAGTCTGAAGGTCAGCCAAGAATAGAGGCTTTGTTTGTAGTTTGTCTTCACTTTGCTTTAGGGAGGTGCTGGATGATGAGAATCATGGAGAGGCTCTCAGATGTTCCCAGGCTGAGACTAGGAATCTGGTGCAGCAAGAAGGGATGGAGAAGGAACAAAAGCCAGTGAGCCAAGTTCAAGAAGAGTCAAGAAGGACTCGAGAGCACAGGTGAGGTGGGGGAGCCCTAGAGTCTCAGAAAGTGGGCAGAAAATAATGATGGGCGAGCATAGAAAACCAGGTGGTGGAAGTGGATAGGTGGAAGTCCTTTATAGTGGTTCCTGCCTTCTCTGGGACACAGGGAACTAGGGAATAGAAGGGGTTCTACTCGGATTATCAGAATAAGTGACATTTAGGCACTTATAGCATAAGCTGTTTTCTCTTCTGGAGTTCGGGAAGGTATGTCTTAGTCTGGTTGGGTTTTGCCATTTGTTGTTGCTGCTGCTGCTGCTGCTGTAACAAAATACCTAAGGCTGGGGACATTGTCCAGGAAAGAGGCTAATTGGTTCACAGTGTTAGAGTTTCAAGAGTCTGCTTTGTTTAGTTCTATAAGGGACTCCCAGATACAAAACAATATGGTGGATGGCTTGATGGTCAAAGCACGCATGTGGGGAGAAATTAAGAGGCCAGGCATATTCTCTTTTAAACAACTATATGTCTAGGACTCAAACTATGGTCTGGTGTAAGAACAGTTTCTCATTTCTCCAACAGATGCCCTCCCAATGGATGACCTAGCAACCTTTCATTGGGCTAGCTCCTAACGGTTTCACTGCCTTACAATATCACCACATAGGACCAACCTTCTAGTGCATGGGCCTTCAGAAACACACTC